TCATTCAATTGGCTGATTGATCTTTAATACATCCAAAAGGTGTCTTAGAAGATGTGTTAGTTCAAATGAATGAACTAGTATTTCTAACAGATTCTTATGTCCTTGACATGGATGATGATGAATCCCCAAATTTGAGTTCAATTCTTTTAGAAAGACCCTTTTTGAAAACAGCCCGGACAAAAATTGATGTTTATGATGGTACATTGTCCATGGAATTTGATGGAGAGGTGATAAATTTCACCATCTATGCTATGAGATATCCAAGTGATATTTCATATTTGAATTTTGTGGATGTCATTGAACCATTAACCAAAGAGTGTTTTGATTTGTCTAATCTCGATGAGTTAGCTCTCATTTTAGACATGAGTCTTCAAAAGGATGGAGTGGATAAACTTTCCATGCAATTCAAAATTGATGAAGAGATTATAGAAGTTGTATCTTGCATGGATCAAAAGAAGAAAATGAGGTTTGATGTTCCAAAACTAGAATTATCGATGTCTAATGAGAAATTTGTTCCTTCTATTGTGCAGGCACCCGAATTGGAACTTAAAACTTTACCCGATCATCTTAAGTATGCGTATCTTGGATAGAACAAGGCTTTACCCGTGATTATTTCCAAAAAAATTGACAACAAAAGAAGAAGAAGAGCTTGTCACCACTTTGAAGGAGTATAAGGAAGCTATTGGGTGGACTATAGCCGACATCAAAGGGTTAAGTCCTTCATTTTGCATGCATAAGATCCTTATGGAAGAAGACTATAAGCCTTCACGAGAAGCTCAAAGGCGTTTGAGTCCTCCAATGATGGAGGTTGTGAAGAAAGAGATTATGAAATTGTTGAATGCAGGAATGATCTATCCTATATCGAATAACAAACTAGTAAGCCCGGTCCAAGTTGTACCAAAGAAGACAGGTATTACCGTTACAAAGAATGACCAAGGTGAATCAGTCCCCACTCGTGTGCAAAATGGGTGGAGAGTTTGCATAGACTATATAAGACTCAATTCCTCAACCCGGAAAGATCATTTCCCACTTCCCTTCATTTATCAAATGTTGGAAAGATTAGCGGGAAAAACACACTATTGTTTCTTGGATGGGTATTCTGGTTTCCACCAAATACCCGTTGCACCTGAGGATCAAGAAAAAACCACTTTCACCTGTCCATTTAGAACATTTGCATATAGGCGGATGCCTTTCGGACTTTGCAATGCTCCTACCACTTTTTAGAGGTGCAACGTTTTCCTCAAAGTAAGGCTTTTTGTAAACCATATAGATCAATTTTGAAATTTTGTCTATCTAAGATATATATAAACAAAATTATACAAATGGTCCATGTGGGTTTTCAAGTTCTTGGCTTTTGTTCTTAACATTTTTTCCCGTTACATCGGTAGTCGCTACGGTTTCTATTTCTTGCGTGGTTCTTCCTTTGACCTTATATAAGAAGGCTTTTATCTCTATGCTATCATAACCTTAATATCCATTTTGTTGCACCCTCTTCTACGTTGGGACTCCGATTGTCACCTCTGATGTTAATGGCTTGTCGTTGGATGCAAGCCTTGTAGCCATGATGAACTTTTAGAACAATGATGAACACCACCTTTTTTTTATATGAATGTACTCTACCCAATCATATCTTAAAAACTTGTTTTTTTTTTTTTTTTTTTTTTTTTTTTTTTTTTTGTTTTGGGGGGGGGGGGGGGGGGAGAGGTGATCTTGATCTTTAGATTCTTTGCAATGGTTTTTTTTTTAATGTGTGTATTTATGTTTAGGTTGGATTTGCAATAAGTTTGATATTGAGATGAAGAAACAAATAACGGTTTTGAGTTACAAATTATATCAAGTTTAGAGTCTATATTCATTGCATTTTCTTTTAATTTATTTATAAAACACATATTTTATCAGGTTTGGAGTTTGTAGAGAATAATATGAGATAAAACAAAAAACACATATTTTATAAGATTTGAAGTTGTAGAGAATAGTAAGAGATAAAACGAGTATGATGGTGGTGGAAGGTGGTTGCAACAGTGGTCGATGGTGGAGGTGCTTTGGTTATTACGAAACATTTTTAAGTTAATAAAAATATAAAAGATTAATATAAATTATAATCAAATAAAAAAGTAACACGATAAAGATATAAAAGTCATTTTAATATAGGTTATGGACGAGCCGGTACAAAGAATAGAAATCATAGGAACTATCATTTAACAAAATAATAATAATAATAATAATAATAAAAAAGATGAAAACAAAAAATATGTGAAACCACAAGGACGTTTATGTAATTTTGTCATAAAAATAAGGTAACACCAAGCATTTTTTAACAAAAACCCACCGAAACCAACAAACCCCTATCTTATTTGTCTGATCAGAATTGTAATTTTTTTAGCTCACCAAATTTCTATTGGATTCATTAATTGACATCAAGAACTATCCAACTCAAAGCCGCCCATATCGAGAAAGATACAACAAAAGATAATTTTTCCTTCCCTTTTTCCTCCATTGTTGTCTGTTTCCTTTTAAAATTTTCTCCTTTTTAAAACCAAGCCTACACCATTAAATTTTCTGTGAAGAAGAAGAGGTCCAAGTTTAATGCTTCTGAGAAAACAAAGAAATTGATTCACACACACGTGTGTGTGTGTGTATATAGCGTGTGAAGAAGGTCACATGTTTGAGGTTTGTTTAAGAAAATGGATATGATGTATTACCCACTTGGGAGATGCTCTTATGAGGAATCCATGAAGGTTCTTGAAGCTGATATACAACACGCCAATGCTCTGTAAGTTATTGTTATCTCAGTTCCTTCGATTTTTGATGCGGGTTTTGATTTTTCTAGTTTTCTTGAAAGGGATTGTGTGTTTCTATGTGTGTTTGTGGCTATCAGTCATCTTTGCTAGCAACAAGTTTAGTAATTTGAATAGGTTCGTGGGTTTTAGTTCTTTTTTTGTTTTTTCGTTTTGCAAAAAGGGGTTTCTAGGTTTCTGCTAGTGTGTATGATCATCAGTCATCTTGAAAATCTTAAATGTGATTCTGGATGTTTAAATGTTAGAATCTTTGAGGGATTTTGGACAAAAACTAAGCAATCAACAAAACCCTCTTGGGGATTTATTTCTTGCGAACTTAAACCTGTTTACGCAATTAATATAGAATCTTCAAAGTTGTTGACCGGAAGAAATAAAAAATGGCATCGCTTCAGTTTCTGATTGTTTTTGTGTGTGGATTCATGTTGGATTTTCAGGGCTGCAGCAATACCTAGAGCCAACGATGGTGCAAGATTTCAAATGAAACTAGTTTACAATGAATTGGCACCTCTTGTTATGTTTTTGCTACAATGGATTGATTCCTCTTGCACTTGCCTCTTGCCTAGATACTTGAATCTCGTTCATGTTCTAGTCTACAAGGTTGGTTCTTGAATCTTTTATGTGGTTGGTTGTTCTTTGAATCTTGAATCTTGAATCTTTACTTGCAGGTATATACAGATGGTAGACCAAAGATTTCTAGACGTGGAAGAAAGGCAACGATAAACGACTTCTACGGTTTGTGATTGTAGCCATACAACCTTTTTTTTTAGCATTTCAATCGATTATATTCAAAGAATTTCAATATTTTATTTTCTGATTGAGACCAATGAATGCAGCTGTCATACTGCCATCTTTGAGAAGGCTACACTGCGATTTGGATGATGATGGTGACTCCACAGGAGTTTGTTTGAGGATAGAGACATCTGACCACAAGAAAACGAAAAAAGAAGTTGGATTCTCGAATCTTGATTTAAAAAGAGAAGATGAATGCGGGATTTGCTTAGAACCTTGTACAAAAATCGTCTTGCCAAATTGCTGCCACGCAATGTGCATCAACTGTTATCGAGACTGGTATGCCACATATTTGAAAGTTAGGTCATGTTTGATGTTTGTGTGGATAAATGATGTTTAAAAAATATATATATGAGGTGGTACTCTTTGGGAAATGGAAGGAAAAAGTAACTTAGGGCAATTTTGTAAAAAATTAGGACTTAATGGGGAAAAGTAAAACCTTCTTTCATAGTCTTTCACTATTAAGTTGTTATTTGTGCATTAAGTTAAAACACTCATCAAGTAAAAAGAAATAACACATTGGTCCTTGCTAAATTGTTGTGTTGTTTGTGTGTTTAGGAATACGAGGTCGGCATCTTGTCCGTTTTGTCGAGGTAACTTAAAGAGAGTAAAATCACGAGATTTGTGGGTTTTGACTTGTGATGATGATGTTGTGGATGCGGATCTTGTTGTGGATGAGGATTTGGTGCGTTTGTATCTCTATATCAATAATCTCCCGAAAGATAATCACGAAGCTATTTTCTTTATGTACTATGAATATCTAATATAATGTAAAAAAAAAAAAAAACACTAGTTCGTGTTACAGAATGTAAGAGAGACGAAAAATACACTCATCATTAAAATGTATATAGAGTTTGGCAACAAGGAATTATTGAAAATGTATACATGAAGTGAAATACACCGACCGTTAAAATGCGCAATGGGTCAATTCGACCAGAAAACAAATCAGATGCTAAGATATGTATCAGTAGCGCTTGTTCATATAAAAAACACTCATTCATAAAAAAAAAAATAATAATAATAATAAAAATAAAAAAAATAAAATAAAATCAATGAGACACACTGACCGCTTATATACGGAGATACAACCAATACAACTATAAGGAATGAAAGATGCATGAAGGTATGTCACATCATCCAAAAAATCAAAACACTACTAATAAGAGATGGAGACTCACTATATCACAAGACACGGCCAACGGGGGTGTTCCTTTATAAGTTACGCGTGACTTGGGCTTTCGGCTTGAACGTGAAAAAAAAGCACCATTGTGTGTAGCCTAATAAGAGATACAAATAGACTTTAGCTTAGACGTGAAAAAAAAACACCAATTGCGTGTAGCCTAATAAGATATAAGAGATTTACTTTGTATCCCTTAAACTTTTGAAACTTATAATACATATCGACGACGGTTACAAATCATATCGTTCAATACATATAGACTCACCAAATCATATTACCCTTTTATATAGACTCACCAAATCATATTACCCTTTTTTATTGACAACTTTTGCTTCATTTTTATATGATTAAAAATACTAGCCTAAAAACTCAAAGGGTTTAAACTTTAAAGGCGGAAAGAAAAGTGCTCTCTATTTTTTTAGTTAGCAGGAATGGGCGTCTTTACTCTTTATAGATGCAAAATTGACCGATGAGTGATGTGTTATCTCGCAATGGATTGTTGGTGCAGAATCAAACTCCGCAATCTGCCGTCTTCGCCTTATCTCCACTCAGGTAAATTTAACTCTTCTAATTTCAATTTACACGATTCATATCGCCCAACGCACCGATTCAATTCTTCTCATTTGTATATTTCTGTAAATTTTCCAAAAAATCATTTATTCGTTAACAATTTCAATCGGGTTTTAGATTTCTTCTTGTTTTCCACTGAATTTTGATGAAGAATTGAAGTTAGAAACACACACACACTCACACACACATTTTCAACACCTTTTGTGTTCTTCTCAACTTGACAGCAGGAGGAGGGGGGAAGTTATTACAGCTAACGGGTGGTCAAAATTTTGCTTCGGACAACCTTTTATTAGTTAAGAAAAAGTTGCAAGGAATTGTTGACATTTTCACTTGTGTTTTTATTAGGTACGAAGTACGAACTCCCATACTTTCAAAGTGTCGTAACCACCAAATTATTTGCGGTATGTTTTTACAAAGTTATTTCACTGATTTCATACCTTCGACTTCTTCTGTCCCATGAAAATATTTGACTGTACACATAGTTTTATGTTGACTATCTGTCAAATGTCTATAGTGTACTCTTAGGCCGGATTTGTTTCATTGGATGTTATGAACTAGTACAAGTTTTTTAGGACAATTTCTTATATAAAGGATGACCTGTTTATATAGTTCCCAACCCAACCTTTTAGATAAATGGGTTGTCATTAGTTTTACCTGTTTATATAGTTCCCGACAAACCTTTTAAATAAATGGGTTAAACTTGGGTTAACCCATTTAAAATCAAATAAATAAATTAACTAAATAATATACCAATTTAAGAATAAAAAGAGACAGGTGTAGGGCTATGATGTCAGCAGGTTGTTACGTTTTATGGGAATAGTAGTGAGTGCATAGAAATAAAGATCAGGTGAGAGAATATTTTTCTGTTAGGGAAAGGGTCGGCTAGTCATAGCTTGGGCACCAAGGATAATCTTTTGGTTTCCTTCTCTGATTTCCTTTTGTATTCTCTCTTTGAATATTCAGTAATCATAAGCATTCATTCCCATATTTGATTTACAATTATTATTGTCCAACTTGTTATTCCTTCCTATCAATTTGGTTCCATTGCCTTGCTTTTTACCCTTCCTCCACCATGGTACAACCAACAGAAGCTCAGGTCACTACTCGATTTAAGCTAACTATTTGTTTCTTATTTCACGCCTTACATTAACAGGGATTTCAAGCTAACGGAAGGGTTTATGCAAGTAAAAGCTCACCTAAAAGGTTAAGGAAAGCAAAAGAACAGCAAAAAATTGTGAACCCACAGCTAACCGAAGGTCTACCAGATGAACCCGGTGGAGCTCCAGATAAACAACAACCTTCTCCAATTAATCCTACTACTAATTTGGAGTCATCCGCTTCAATTGCTATTGCTTCTAGAAGTTCAGTTCTACAGGCATGCACCTTCACTTCTACTTTAATAGCCTTTGGGGGCGTAATAATTCGACAGGTAAAATGTTAATTTTGCACTCTCTTCATTTCATTATGATTAATTTAATAAAAATCATGATTATATTAACATAATTAGTAATTATATATCAACATCTTGTTGTAATGTGCAGGGTTCTCATTTGGCATCGTCACAAGGATGGCCTATAGCTGATTGCTCTTCCGAAATATCATGTAATGTTTTGTTTCTTCATATATCATTTAACATTTTTAGTTTGTTTTAAAATATATTTGATTGTGGGTCCCATTTACTAAGATGAGAATGGTCTGAATACTCAAAATCATTTCTGTGCGTCCAGTTAATTTTGAGACGTGGCATCTGCAAGGGGTTGTGGGTTTAGTCATACTCATATCCTCTTCTCGGTTCTTACTACTGAGGACATGGTCTGATTTTGCCGAGTCTAGTGAGGCATCCAATCAACAGGTCTAAATGCACGAAATAACAATGTACTTTCATTTATTTGTGTATTATAAATTTATAATAAATAAATTAACCAATGTACATTGCTATTTCTTGCAAATTAAATTGTTTATTTATTTATTGATCTGATTGTTAAATCATGCAGGTTTTGACATCTTTACAGCCACTAGATTATGCATATGTGGCATTTCTTCCCGGCATTAGCGAGGTCAGAGTAGAGAAATTTGGTTGCTATTTTTTACACCATATTGTGGGGCCCATCCAAATATGTAAGTGGGATCCACAATCCCAGTAATATCATATAACAAAATAAATTTGATAATAATAAAACTAAAATATTTTAATTTCATAGGAACTTTTTTTTCGAGGTGCATTGCTTCCGCTTTTAGGAACCAACTTCACAAGTGCCACAGCAGTTGCTGCTTTATTTGGGATTTTGCATTTGGGAAATGGTCGAAAATTTTCCTTTGCAATTTGGTACACACTTTTTTTTTTTTTTTTTTTAACTGAATTTTATTAATTTAAGTTTATAAATTTAATTTTTTTCAAATTTATAGGGCCACATTTGTTGGGCTTGCTTATGGTTATGCCACGATCTTATCCTCTAGCCTTATCGTGCCGATGGCTTCTCATGCAATTAATAACTTGATAGGAGGTGTTATATGGCGCGTTTCACAACCGAATAATCAAAACAAAGAGGTATAAACACTTTTATATAAATTTTGACAAAAAAAATGATATGTAATTATCTGTTACGTTTCGATATATTTTATTAATATTACTAGACATGTTTATTGTTTTGAGTCTGTACTTGCAGATTTAGTAAGTATTCTAAGATGACGCACCACACAAAATACATTACTCGATTAGCGTTAGGTAATGCATAGGATTGGTTTGTAAAATCACACATTTTGAGGGTGGTACAAACTTTTAATGCACAAAGTACAAGTAATTATCATATCTTTATGGGACCAATTACCAATTACTTATGGGACATTTGGTTAGTATGGTGCCACGTTTTCTATTGATCAATGTACAAATTATTAATGCACAAAGTACAAGTTATTATCATATCATTTTATGGGACCATTTACTTTTGGTTTGTATGGTGACACGATTTCTATTAAGCAAGAAGTTTTAATGAACGAGGTACAAGTTATTATATGATTAATCACATTTTGGGACCATTATTTACTCTTTGGAACATATGGCCTAGATAGCTTAAACTTATTTAATGAAACTTGAACATGAAAACAAAGGAAAAAACATTCCATTTATGAGGAAATGTGTAAATGGTTGAGATTTTAGTTTTGCAATAATAATTTAAGATTGATGTGAAGTCGAACCTTGGTTTGATGCATAATAAATTTATTTTAAATTATGTAGGATTGGATGTTATTTGTGAATATGGTTTTTGATTTATATTTTGGATCTTTTTACAACAACCAAACTCATGGAGATAGGTAGATTAGATAAAGAACTTTTGAGTTTGTTGAACCACGAAATTTTTATGCAAATAATAAATGTAGCAAGTTTGGTGTTCGTTGGGCTTCGCTCACACAAATTTTGATGAAAGAAAAGTTTAAAGTTTTAAAGGGGCGAGTATGGTTGTACTGTGTAAGATATTAAAATATTACGAGATTCACGAATAGAAAACTAAATGTAATTAAGTTTATTCATTTTTGAACTATAAATGTATAAAACTAGTTGTAAGTTGGTAATTGAAATTTGTAACTTTTATTTGTGTATGGTTATTTGACAAAAATACTTGGAAACTTTTAAAATATGTAAAACTACATAAAACAACTTATCTAAAACAATTTTTAAAACATGTATAATTATACAAAATGACTTATTTAAAACATGTCATTGGTTTAAAAAAAATATAATTTTGTCAATCTGCGAAATTGTGCGAAATTGTAAAAGAGTTTTTTATTAAAGGTTGCCTACTTAAAGTAGCTTTTGAATTTAAATTTTTTTGTTTTGGTTAAAAGCTAGAAACTTTTAATACATAACAAATATTTCATTTTTTGAGTATAGTATATTCTTAAAATGAAAACTCCGAAAACTAGGTGGTGAATCCACCCTAAATTTTATATTATCAATTCAATTATTCGAGTGCCATAAATTGCAGTAAAGGATTGTTTAATATAATAGAAGCTACCCTTTTCCTATATAATGAACCTACTAAATAATAAATAGGGCAACATGACATGCAATACTTTACCTAAGATAAAGGGCGACAATAAAGTAATTTAGATGGTCCATGCATGGTCACATGGTTCTACACTTCTACCCATTTTTGCTAACTATTAACTATGCAAGTTATTATTTTGTGCTGCTAATTATGAGAATCCCATGATCGAAGTTGTTATATCGTGGAATAAGTGCTCGTTCTTTTTTATTTCAAATACATAATATAATTACATATATAATTATTTCAACCAGTTAAAAGCTTTCGTAAAATTTACTTCACAAAATTAAATGACAATTTTTGCAAAATTGAAGGGGAATTCAAGCAATTTTGAACAATTCTCAATTCACAAAACTAAATGTCAAAATTAGTATCACCCAAGTTAAATTCAAAACAATAAATATCAAGATCATGTATAATAGAATAAAAAAGATCGAATATATATTTTTGACTTCAAACAATAAATACCAAGATATAGAAGATTTCATATCATAGAATTTAAAGACATTTACAAAATATGTGGATAATCATGAAAAAATATGATTGGGTTATTTTAGTGAATACACTATTATTTATGTATTATAATATAATAAAATATATGTATAATACTATAAAAAAGATCGAATATATATGTTTGACTTCAAAAAAAAGTCAAAGTGCTGTGTTTGGAAGTACATATAACAGGGCACTTCTTGGTGGTGGTAGAGAATCATGTAAAGTCTAAACCTTTCCTACTGATATATCATGCAACTTTCATGGCTTCTCTTCTTTTCTGCACTTGGTTTCCTTCATCTTTTCAAACTCATTTTCACTCTCTTCAAATGGGTTTTCATCACTTTCTTCCGACCACCCAAGAACCTCAAAAACTATGGTTCATGGGCTATCATCACCGGAGCCACCGACGGCATCGGCAAAGCCTTTTCCTTCCAACTAGCTCAAAATGGTCTTCACCTAATCTTGGTTAGCAGAAACCTATCCAAGCTTAAAGAAGTTTCTGATGAGATTGTATCAGTTCACCCAACCACCAAGATCAAGATTTTCACTATGGATTTTTCTGGCGAGAATGTGGTGGCTGGAGTTAGGGAAATGCAGAAGGTGATTTCTAGTGAGCAACTGGACGTGGGTGTTTTGGTGAATAATGTTGGGGTAACTTATCCAGCGGCTAGGTTTTTTCATGAGGTTGAAGAAGAAGTTTGGATGAAGGTGATGAAAGTGAATGTGATAGCTACGACGTTGGTAACAAGAGCTGTGGTTGAAGGAATGATTGAGAGGAAAAGAGGTGTCATTGTTAATATTGGTTCGGGTGCTGCCATTGTCGTACCTTCACATCCTCTCTATGCGATCTATGCTGCCAGCAAAGCGTAAGTTGATCTTTTATATATCTATTTCTTTCTTTTAACGCGATCCATGGTTCTTGCTTTCTGTTTTAATATATGCAAGGTTTTGAACACCGACTGACCATCTTACTGGTTCGATGGTTTAGTTGGTCTAACCAGTTGGACTGGTCTGAAAAACTGGATGATGTCATAATTACATTATTATTAATTTTAATTATATAAAAAATACTATATATATATATATATATATATATATATATATATATATATATATATATATATATATATTAAAATTCCCGGTTTTTAACGGTTCAATCGGACCGGTTTTCACATCTTTTTACCGGTACACATGAGGATCGGTTTTTTGGCCTCTAAGAAGTGGATCCGGGACCGGTTCCTGGTTGAACCGACATGTCCGGTCCGGTTTTCAAAACATGGTATATATATGGTTTAAATTTGAATCGATAAACATGCATTAGGGATGTTTTACGACCAAAAGGCATGTATAGTTTTGAGTAACGAAAAGAGTTATTTACATACACAATACACAAGGTGAGAAACTAAAAAAGTCGGTAAAATGCATCAAGGAATACGTGAAACCCAAATTAGGGTATATATTGTGACAAATTAAGATTCTTAGTGATCAAATCTTATTTACAAATATATGATAAACAAAAACCGTATAAGAACGAAGATTTTCATTGATGGGGTGGACAAGTTAAGCTCGATCACCCAACTTAGTTTAATCATTAATGTGGATGTTGGATTCATGCATTGAAAAATTAAAATGGTGGGTCACTTGTAAAGTGGCCATGGAATGGTGTTTGAGTTTGAGGGTTGCATGGGTCAAAATCAAATTCATAGTGATGGGCGAATGTAACGGAAGCATATGATAACACGGACCACATGCAAATTAACACAAGGGTAGACTTGGAATAAACTTTGTATAAAAAATATTATCTAATAGATCGAGTTTTATATTAATGATATTAACTTGGTCGTTTTTATGTAATGATAGGTATGTTGATCAGCTTTCAAGGTCTTTATATGTGGAGTACAAGTCTCTTGGTATAGATGTTCAATGTCAAGTATGTACATATTTATATATAATTAATCTTTTTTCTTGTACACTCAGTTATGCTAATTTGATATCATTTGTGTATTTTCCTATAATGTAATGTTGTTCTAGGTGCCATTATATGTATCTACAAACATGGCATCACAAGTTGCATCGGTTGAGAAGTCATCTTTGTTCATACCAACAGCTGACGATTACGTGAAGGCTGCAATTAGACAAATAGGATACAAATCTCGTTGCACACCATATTGGACTCACTCGGTTCAATGGTTCTTCGCTTCGTTGACTCTTGATTCAATTCTTGACACATGGCGCCTTTCCATTGGCATTCAACGTAGGGGACAATTGGCATAGTAATTATACATTGAAGTTGTATCTCAATCACTTGTTTGGAAATTGTGGTCCTTGTCATATTATAATTAAGGGATTTATGGGAACTACATTCTGGAAGACTCTATTGTCTGAATCTTTCACAACGACCCAATGTTGATGTGAATGAATGAATTAAACTGAAATTCGTAATATTTTTAAAAGTTACAATATCGAATGAGTTGACTCAAGTTGGTTTATTAGACTAATAGGTAACATGTGTAAAAGCTAAAAAATACTAGCTAAAGGAAAAATGTCAACGGTTTGGTTGAAACTGTAACCTAAAATGTAATTTTTAATGCTTGTAAATTACTAAATCTTCTTGTCTAATGGTTTGGGTTTGAGGCTAACATATACCATAAGGGTTTTGGTGAGAGCTCATCGAAGATCAATCGAGAAGGAGAATGGGAAGGGAGATATGGTTTGGTGGTTTTGCAATTGAGAGGTGATTTTTCTACTTAAAAAATTGATTCTTCCACATAAGATCCAAGACCCTTATAACTGGTTAACAATATTTTTTATATGGATCAAATATTTTCTTAAATATAAAAATTACCTCCCAATTGCAAAACAACCAAACCCCATCTCTCTTTCCCTTATCCTTCTCAGATCGATCTCCGACATCAAAACCCTTAAGTTATATGTTAGTCTCAAACCCAGCCATTCAGACAAAAAGATTTAGTAATTTGCATTGCAAGCATTAAAAATTATATTCAAGGTGGCCCAACTCTTGTAACATTTCAAATTCGGGCCATTTCTTTGAAAGATGGTATGGTAGCCCAACTCTTGAAACACATAATCATTTCCCTTTCCCAGCCATATAATTTGCACTTATATTTAACACAATGTTATATAATTAAGAAAAAAACTGGTCTGTGACCAACTATAAAAAAACATTGGTTTTTACTCGTTAGGATTTGTCTGACGTCCCACTCAATTTCCCATCTCTAATAAATTTGAAAATAATTTCCGATTTCTAAATGTTAATTATGAAACAAGTAGCTCAACTATATGGTAGTTAGGTCACTTGCAAATTCTGTGGCCGAGAAATAGTTATGTACTTGAGGAGTCGGGCCACCATACCATGTTTCAAAGAAATGGCCAGAATTTAAAATGTTACAACTTTGTAAATTATATATTTATATTAGAGATGAAAAGTACACATTTGGGATACACATTTTTTAAACTTAGAAATAAGGGTAAATTACATTTATCGTATTTAGTAATTTTTTATGTAAATAGTGTAAGTTTTTTCTGGATCTAATGTTCATTGTATTAAAAAAAAATTAAAACCATTAAATATTAATATACCACATGATTAATTTTACATTGTTCAAAATAACAAGACTTCAAAATAAACCATCTAATGTAAACAAAGCATCAATGTCATTGTATTTTACATACATTCCAAATACCAAAAAGAAACCATTTTCAAAATTTTTGAAATGCAATTTAAGTCCTTACTCCTAATTGACGCTTAAAAGATAAAAGTGTTAAAATGTTTTAGTAATTTAAAAATATATAAAGGGTAACGATATAATTTTATAAATACTCAATTAAGCTTTCGAGCTTTATGAGTAGAGAATTTTACTACTCGGGCTTGACTCGATAAGGTACATGGGTAGCTTGAACTCGAGCACGACTCGATTAAAGTCAAGTCGATTTCAGGTATTTTTCGAGTCGGATTCAAGTTTTTCGTGATTTGTCTCACCTCGTTTACACCCTTACTCTCACAGAGAACCTCACGTATCACTAAACACCCCCACCCCCCAACACATACATTCACTCCCATAAATATTTACAAAACCACCAAACCCCATCTCCATTTACGTTCCCCTTCTTCTTCTTGATCGATCTCCAATGAGCAACCACCAAAACCTTACGGTAAATGTTGCCTCGGGCCCACTATGCCATCTAGACAAGTTTTAAAAGGAGTAAAACACATCCATTAATCAAAACTTAAGTTTATGGAAATCACACCTATCACACCCCCAACCAACAATGGAAACGTCGGGCGGTGAGACGACATCATGGATCACAGTCATTTGCATAAATAGAACAAGCACAACAATAACATAACAGTAGATATATTACTTAAATTGAATTACATTGATACTTGTTTAGTGTTACAATACTTTGATGCCTCAAACAATAGACTGCTTAATATAACTGCTTCGCAAATCTATAGGTGATTGTGACGCCACGACTTTTTCGGTAAGCGTAAGCTTCCATCTTTTTTTCCTAAGAATACATGCCTTTTGAAAGAGTATCAACGTAACATTAGTGAGTTCATAGGTTTTAAATGTTTGCATCAAATGTACTTTTCATCCAAAAAATATGTTTTCATATGTACTTTAAAAGCATAAGATTTGTACTTTTAAACCAAAAAGTAGGTTTTCACTGTATATAATTGGTTTCCCAACTTTTTATATATAAATGTACTTTTAACCCAAAAAGTATGTTTGTTGTATATAAATGCTATTTATTTTTAACCCAAAAGTATGTTTGCTATATATGGGTGTTATTTCAACTTATATATAAATGTAATTTTAAACCAAAAATTATATGTTTACCGTGTATAAGTACTATTTCAACTTATATAATATATGTACTTTTATACCAAAAGTATGTGTTGTCGTATATAATTATATAATTATAAGTACTGTTTCAGCTTATATATTCGTGTATTTAGAACAATCTCAACGTTACAATAAGTTCCTATAACTGAGATGCTGACGAGTTGTTGCCCTCACGACTCTTCACTAGATGTTGTAAATGTTTAGAAAGTTATCATTCGTGACTTGACCATCGAGGTTGTAGCTAACAACTGTAGGTAGGGGTATCAATCCGTATAGATCTATACATATTTTTCTCGCTCACTTAAGATTTAACAACTATTGGTCAAGGGTCTTTGCTAAGTATTACACTTAGTTAATGAATCTGTCTCATGTAAACCATCTAGTGAGTAGTTCTAAGCATTTATAGCCTTAACTTTAAATGTTCAAGTTACCAAACCAAATGTATATTGTATAATTATAATAATGTTTTATAATTATCTCGTATAATTATTTTGTAAATTGTAGAGGCAGTGTAATGACATTGCATAACTATTATCCGATTTATATGGGCAAAGTAATGATAATGTATAACTAATATCCAAGCTGTGTAAACAATGTTTCAACAATGAAATTTATCGTGATATAAATGTGATACATTTAGCGACAATTATAATAACAACTAAATAATATATTTAGTTAATAATAAACGATATTAATAATTTCGAGTTTATATAAACTTTATAACATTTAAACATGCATTCTCCCTTGAAAAACAGTAAAAGGTTTAAAATTGGCACCATTATACTCACCCTCGTAGCGTCAAAACCAATCGGGTAGCGCTTCGTCGTAAAAAGAGTCGGGATGGGGACGAAACAAAAGGGGGATGTAACACTTGTTTCATGTGTAGGTCAGCTAATAGCATGGAAGAATCGAAAGGAAGATTTGTAGGAAAGGTTGAGTGCCACAATGTGGAGCATAGATGGCCACGACGTGGCATGAAATATTTAACACGTGTTTTAGATGTTTGCCACGATGTGGCAATGGATAACCACGGTGTGGTAGCTGGTGCAGCGCAAGCCCACAAAGTTTTTGAAACATCTCAAAAATATGATCCAAAAATTTCGTTTTCAAAATCCTTTAACAAACATAAATATCACCACCGTAGTATAAAATCATAGAAATCTATCAACATATCACAGTCTCATAATAAATATCAGAGTAAACTCCCAGGCTAAGAAAAATTGTGGTGTGTGTCATGCCATCAACCCGAGCCCTTCCCCTTGCTAGCTGAAGTACCTGAAACCAAAACTGAAACTGTAAGCACGAAGCTTAGCGAGCTCCTCCAAACTATCACATACCATACAAAGCACATGTCATACATAGAGTTGGAGTCCTTAAAAATTTTGTATTTAATTTACTATTTTAGTCGATTACTTATGTCTTTAATTATTTTTTCTAATCATTGCATTCAAAATCCCCCCTCTCTTTACTGTTGGTGATCAAAGTACTTTGCACAAAGAGGTATAGACTGATTGTCCCGTGTCTCCGTGGATAGACCGTACTTGCCTTGTACTACCTTTTTTGTGCAATATAGTAGTGTTCTTTTGGAGTATATCGTACCCCTTTATTTTTTGGGTTTGACATCCTTAACAAGAACTTACTCTTAACGTATCATTACCAGCAAGAACTAGGAACATGTCTTTCATTCTTCGCAGATACTTAAGAATATTATTCACCATAACAATGGGATCTGTCGGGATTTCCCTAAAATCGACTAACCATGCTCAAGGACTCAAACTTGCACCAATAAGAACATAAGTCAAGATGAGAGCTTTATACCTTCAAACACTCAGAAGATAGTAGATCCAAGTTCCCTCCTTGATCCCTTGCACCAAGATGGACTTCTCCTTTCCTTAAGCTTTACCCAAAATCCAAGATTAAGCTGTAAATTAAGAAATCAAGCCTTCAATGCATGGTGGCTAGGGTTTTGTTTGGAAGGGATGGAGGCTGAAGAGGATGCCATAAACCTTGAGTTTATGGGCTTAAATATGGAGGAAACCCTAAAAGTTCATGGGGTTGGGTTTCAGTTGATGCCATGTCGTGGCCTTCTCCTTGCTATGTCATGGTAGACACTTGAATGCATGATCATGCATTGACACGTGTCACACCCTAAAACCGGAATGGCGGAATCGTTCTGGGGTGGATGACGTCATGTACAATATCATAACAATGCAATATAGTAAATCAAACAACAACATCCATTGCATTAAATAGTAATAGTTAATACATGTTTTCTTTGTAGAGTTTAAATGACACCAACAATGAATGTGTATCAAAAGAAGAAGATGAGTCTTAGATAAGCTTCATCTTCGCAAAACCTGGTTATCTGTACCCATCTACTGGTGACATGAGGATACAAGTTATTTTGGAAGAGTATATCAGCATTTAAGCTGGTGAGTTCATAAGCAGTTTAGTGTCATTATATTATATTTACTTCATAAAATGGTTTATGGTTGTATCATAAAAAGGTTTGTGTGTTTTCCCATAAAATGCTATATTTTCTACTTGTAATGAAAATGTAGTCTCCTACCGAGACTGTATCATTTGTTTGCTCCCTTATAGTAATGTAAATAAAATGTTTATTTAATGAATGATACTTAAATATTAGTTTACCACCTTATAATCGGGTTGGTTAATTTAGATGAAAATGTGATCAGGTTGCAACCATACTTGATCGACCTAGTGTAAGTACACGATGTTTTTCGGACGTCGAAAAGGTATGACATTTTTTCACCCGTGGACCTGCAGATCCCACTGTAACTAGCAACGAGGTGTGGGATGGTCAATCCCGTATAGATCTATACACAAACTCACGGTCTCCCTCCAT